AAAAAAAAAAAAAAAAAAAGATGAAAACTGAGCATCTATATACAAAATACTGTCAATCTTTCCTGGCCAGCAAAGTGGCCATCACAGTGCTTCTCCTGCTTCCTGAGTCTCCCTCTCACGGGCTGGAACATGCTGTGGGCAGCCCGCAGCCAGGCCCCCACTCTGGACACAGCAGCTGGACAGTCTTTCCCTGAAGATTCCCTGCATTGGCAGGGGCTGAGGTTGAGCAGCCTGTAGGTTTCTGTCCCCTCTTTTTCTCCCCCTCCCAAATAACACTGTTTCTATGGGTGCCCCTCGGCCGGTCCCATCCCCCCCTGGGTGTCCCTCTGGGCAGCTCCCATCAGAGCTTGTGGGCCAGCAGGGTGGTCAGCTTGATCTTGCCGTCCATGGAGGCAGTGAGGCAGGTGCCACAGTCCATGGCCGTGCTCCAGTCCACAGTGACCACAGGGGCTCGGTGACCGCCCAGGCTCAAGCAGCTCTCCAGAACCTTCTCGTCCCGGCCCAGCTGCAAGAGGACAGAAGAGAGAAAGTGATGTCAGCAGACACTGATCACAAATGTCCCCTTTATCCACTTTTGGAGGCCAAACCACCTGGAGCCGCCACCCCAACCCAGGTGTGAAGTCAGCAGGTCCTAAGGAGAGAAAGCAGGCAGTGTTTCTCAAACCAGCAAGCTTCCCTACTCCCCCCACTTAATGGCCCGCAGTAGGGCTGAATGCCGAGGAATGGAGGGAGGGCAGGGCAAGGTCCTACCACAGGGTGACGAGCGGACGTGCGGGCAGGAGGGCAGCGTGTCCACTCCCCTCCCGCATACTCAGCCCCCGCCTAGCCTGCGGCCAGGAGGCGGTGGGCCCCTTCCCTCCTGAGTCCAGGATGTCTCTGCGGCCATGATGAGTGTGGACACGGCAGGCACTGTTGAGCCTGGGCCACACCTGCACAGAGAGGCTCCCTGCTCCCACCACCCCAGGTACCTTGTAGATGACGCCTCCTGTGGCAGAACACGTCAGCATGTAATTGCCCTCTGAGTCAAAAGCGAAGAGTCGGCCACGGGGCACTTGAACCTGCTTGTAGCCGCTGTAACCAGCCAGCACAAAGGGGCCCGTGGCGTCCGCAGGAAGGCCATACTCGGACACCTTCAGGCCACTCTTGTGGATGTTCCACTGGATGAACTGCAAGCGTGAGCACAAGCACAGAGCCCTCAGCAGGGCGGCTCCCAGCACAGATTAAGCATTTTCGTAAGGGGACAAAGTCTGCACTTTCCCTCTGGCCTGACCCTAGGAGAAGAAAAGGGCAAGCACCACCTCTGTGGATTTCCGGCCTCTCGAGCCGTTCCCAGTGGCTGTTACTGCTATTATTAGTATTGAGGTTAGAACCCTGCGAGATTTGCCTGATTTAGGGACAAAGCAGAAGGACCAATTCCAAATACACGTCCAGTGTCCCAGCAGTGCAATCACTGGGCACGAACCACGCGGTGAACCTGCAGCTGACGCAGCGTGCAGTCCTCACGCCGGCGTGGCGCCAGGCCGCACACTCTGAAGTGAGAAGCCCACCCATGCAAACAACAGTCATCCTTTAATTTAAAAACCGCAGTTGTCAGTGGGGAATTCATAGTGTCGTTACTACTGCAGGTGGATAATGCAGGCAGAGCACAGACCCTGAGGGCCCCGGAGGACAGACAGGAAAAGCCAGTCTCTCTCCCGATTCTGCCTGCCCTTCCATCCCAGGGCTTCTCCCAAGAAACTCTAGAAGCGGCATTTATTTCCACTTTTGCTCCGCTTCCCTCTGCTACGTCCTGACTGCTCAAGCCTGTGTGCACTGCCTCTGAGAAGCTGTCCCAGCCCCCGGCCAACCCGACACACCCATGCTGTGACCACTGATGACCGGCCCACTGCAGCACACGCCAGCCCCAAATCCAGACCCCACTGCTCCATCTGCAGGCAAGGAGTCACTTCTGCTACCAGGGGAGGGGAGAGGGGATGGGAAACTGCTTCCTGAGAACAGCTACCTCGATTGATGCATTAAAAGCTCCCTAGGATCCTGTGATACTGGTTCCCGTTGTTATCCCCGCTTTATAGATGACAAAACCGAGGTACAAGCCCAGTGCTAGCAAAAAGCAGTCGGGATTTAAACTGGCCCACCATGCTGTCCCGCTGCTCTCTAAAATCTCATGTGCCTTAGCCAGAGGGAGGCAAACCCTGCTTCCACCGACCTTCCCATCCTCGCCGATGCTGTACACCGTGTTCTCATCGTAGCTGAACTCCACCGAGTACACCTCCCCGCTGTGGGCCTTCCAGCTCATGGCACACTCGTGCTGCTGCATATCTGAGGCAAAGACACAGACCCCAGTAAGACTCCCACAGTGGGGAGACAACTGCCACTGGCAGGCGAGGGGCGACTCTGGAGGCTCCAGGACCCAAAGGGTGTCAGGGCCCACCCAGCGGAAGAAGGGCCACGGGTTCCTTCCGCTTGCTCAGTCTCTCCTCTGTGCATTCTACCTTCTGTTTAATCTGCCTTAAAAAGAACCTTCTGTCACAGCGTCAAAGCGAGGTTCAGGAACCCCTGGGAGAGACTGACCTTATGTGAAGAACCCGCCAGTCTAGGAGCTCTAAGCTTCCTGAGGGCCGGAGACCTAAACCCACCCAGACCCTCTGACAGCGAGTCTCCAGGGACAGGCCAGGCCCTGGGATCTTAACCAGCACCTGGATGGCCCCGTGACGCTGCGTGAGCCGGGCGAGCAAGCGCACCCTGCAGGCGAGGCTGCCTTCTCATGTCCTGGCCCCACACAGGCAGGAGGGTTCAGGCGGAACTGCTCAGGGGAGCTCCATCCTCCCATACCCCTGACACAGAGCGCATGCACGGTGACCATGGAGGAGCTTTGGAAAACACCAAGCCCAGCCAAGGTGAAGCTCCATTACCTGCATCCAGAATCGGGTTTGGCAGCAGCCTCCTGGCCAGCTGCCACAACCCCACTCTCTTCTGTGGGGCGTTTAAGGAGGGCCCGGATGGAGCACCTTGCTTACCAAACAGCCGGATGACGCCGTCGGCCGCCCCCGTGACCAACAGGTTCCCGTTGTGATTGAAGGCCGTGCAGTTGATAGCAATGGGCTCTGGATCCAGGGAGAACTGGAGCTGAAACAACCGATATACAAAAGCTTAATTTAAAAAAAATGTGAGTGAGTAAAAAATTGCAATTCAAGTCCTCTCTGGGAGGAGGAGGGGAAAGAGAGCAAGACTGGGGGAGGGCACAAGAGCCTGAAAGACATGGGGGAGTCTGTCTTTAGGCCGTGATGATCTAGGTGCACCTTCTGTGGTCCTTCTCATTATACATCTATGGTTTGGTTCTTCTCTATGTATTCAACAGTTCAAATTGTAAAAATAGAAAACTTACATCCATGATAAGTAACAGAGGAAAACATTAGAAAGCCAACAATTAAAAGGAATCTAATTGAGCTGGGATGTGTCAGGGAAAGCATCCAAAGAAGACAGATGCTTGCCAGAGAGAGGAGGCAAGAACCCTCTAGAGACAGGACCTCACACAGGAAGGGGTTGTGACTACAGAACAAAAAGGCATGAAGTGCCCTGAGGCTAGTGGGGGGGGGGGACAGGCAGGACCTCAGGGAAACAGGGGCAGGAAACCACTGAACATGAAGGGGTGTGATTGACAGCTGGTGTCTGGCAACCCCCAGGCAGGGGACTGGGTGGGGACAGGAGGCGGTCCTTGGGTGTCCAGCACAGGGTATGGTGGGGGAAGGGGTCTCAGGTATGTCCCAGGAAACGCAGAGACGTGGTCAAACTGGAAACATTCTAGAAGGGGAACTGGCAGTTTGTTCATGGACTGACTGCAGCTGAGGCGGCAAGTGGGTCCAGGAAAGCACCCAGTCTCCAAGAGGACACACTCGACAAATGGGGGAGCCAAAAAAAAAAGAGGCAGGATGGCAGGGCACACACTTAGGAATTTGGGTGTGGCCCGCAGGTTGGAGAGGGCAGTGGGCAGCCAGTAACCTAAGGGCTGCGGTGGCCGTGATGAGCACAGTGATAACTGGGGAGGGGCAGGCTGTACACTGTGGGCGCGGGCGGTATTTCTCTGCAGAGTCCTCTCAGTTATATCGTGAGCCTGAAACTGCTAAGTAAATAAAGTCTTTAAATACAAAAAAAAATGGTTTGGATTCTGTAACAAACCGCGAGAAACCACCAGTCGGCGCTGCCTGACTTCTGAGTCTGGGGCAGTGCAGTTCTGTCTTCAGCTGTGTAGCTGTGACAGCGCCGTGAGCGCCTCGGGAGCAGCCCCCGCCCAGCGAGGATGGAAGCCGCCTGTGGGCCACTCGGATGACTGGGCTGCCGGGGCTCTGCCCGCTGGAATACAACTATTTCCCCACACTTAACCTTTGCAGTCCCCTTGCAAACCAAAATCGGAAGAAGAGCCAAGAAGAGAGGGCCGAGGCTCATCAGAAACGGGCACACGGGGGCGCACAGGCGGTGCTCCCTCTGGGAGTGAACCCAGGAGATGGCGGGGGAGGGCTGGTACCTGCTGCTTCATGGATTTCGTGTCCCACAGCAGCAGCTTCCCGGGAACCTGGTTGGTGCCCTTGCTGCCGAAGTCTAGCGCCGCCGAGAAGTCGGCCTGGGAGGCGAGGCTCGGCGCCGCAGCCGAACAGACGAAGGAGGCCCCGGTGGGGCTGCACGCGAGGGACAGGATTCTGCAACGCACGTGGCCGGCTCAGGCAGGAAAGCTGGGCCGGGCTCAGGCTGGGTCCTGCTGCAGCAGACCTGGCCGAGCCACTGGGGAAGGCCCAGGCCGGCACGGGGTGGGGTAGGGCCGGCAGCTCACCTGGGCATGTCGTCATTGATGTTGATTTCACAGAGATTCTTCTTGGCTTCTGTGTCGTACAGGCGCACTGTCCCCACACCACTGCCCAGCAAGAGCTGGAACGAGAAGGGGTGGGAGGCATGGGCCTGTCTGGGAGGACCACGGAGGGCCAGGCCCTCTCCTGTGGGGGCAGATTTGGGCAGGCTGCGGGGGGAGGGCCCCTCCCCTTATCCAGGTAGTTCAGGTAAAATCTGTCTAAAGGAAGCCTCATTTAAAAAGACATCGGAGCTGGGGCTAAAACAGAAGCAAAACCACAAAAGGAATCTGGAGCAGGAGCGGCGGGCGTCCCCTCAGATACACAGACAAATGTTTGGTTACACGACACTTGGCCCCGCCCTCCCCACTTTCAGTATTAAATCGAATCCTTCTTCTACCAGCTCCCTGGGCACATGCCCCGTCATGCACCTGGGCAACTCGCATGTTCTGGGGACAGTACTGGCTCTGGCCCATAAAGAGCTCCAGAAAAAATACAAGAGGCTCTCCTTGTCTTAGGAATTTCCGCTTTATTTGGCAGGCGGTTTCAAAGATACTAACGAGCACCTCCAGAAGCAGGTCTGCGTGTGCCCCCTTGAACATTAACTATCTGACCTCTGCGCTCCCGTGACATGTTCACACTACTCAGGGCATGCGTGAGACCCTAGTGCCCTAGGGATAATTCCTTCAATTGTTACAATAAAAATCAAGGTTTGCCTCACAGGCTGCCTGCTATCATCGCCTCAGAATGGAATATAATGAAAGAATAAATCCGTTTACCTCCTAACACAAATCCTAGCTCAAACATTAGTGCCTGGAAGATAAGAGAACCCGGTTCCAGGGCCATCAGACCTTGGGAGCCACAAACCACCACCCACCAGCTCGAACAACTTCCGTTAGGGCCCAGCACAGGAGGGTTTAAGCAAGAGCGGGAACAGTGGGTTGTTAGAGACATGGACAGACGACAGGTGCTGACCAGGCCAGAAAGTTCAATGTTCGTACAGGGCAGATGAGATGGTCAGGCGAGCAGCCTCTGCTGTCTGACAGGAGGGGCTCTCTAGAGCTCTCCAGAATCCCATTTCAATTCTTGCTCATTCGGTAAGCTCCCTGTCTCCCACAAACGGGCCTGCCGGCCAGTCCTGGACATGAGGCCCTTGAGTTCTCAGTGAGAGGAGGGAGGGTTTGGCGTGGCTGCTGGGAGCCCTGCTGCCTTCCTAGGCCAGAGCCAGCAACAGGGCGGGACGTCACTCACCAGCCTGTCCCGCTTGGAGGCCCATTCCAAAGACAGCAGCGGCGACTTGGAGATGGAGGAAGCCTTGGTCTGCATCATGGGGTTGAAGGACCACACCTTTATGACGCCATCCACATCCAAGCTGGCGACCCTCCGCCCCGAGCAGTCCACTCTGAGAGAAGGAGGCCCGTTAGCACGTGCGTTAGCCCAGGATCCTCTTCAGCTCTTCGCTCCTTTTACACAGTGGTCACTGCCTTTCTGACTTCCCAACTGTTTTTAAAAATCATCCCAAAATATCTCAACTTAAAGAACAGTGGAAGCTATTTCTAGAGATCTCATTTATTCATTTACCCAAGAACACAGCCACCCTGTGCAGAGCCTGGGGAGCACGGGGCCAGAGCACGGACAGGTGTGGGCTGCCACTCGGGACTCCAGGCTGCAGCTCCCAACTCCTGTGCTGCGGCTCCAGGGCCCATCAGGCCCCACTAACAAGACTCCTGGAAATTATGCTCTGTGCCGATGTGAAAGACCATGCTTTCACCTCATCAAAGTGGAAACCTACACATGGTAAACAATCACATTTAAAAAACCAACATAAAGCAAATGAAAACTGAGTAATAAAAAGTAACTTGTTCCTAAGTTTGAGACCCGCGGGAGAAAGGGTGGGAGAACAACGAAGCCAAACGCTGCTCCGGCCCTGAGCAGGACCCCCACTGTCCCCACTCTTCCTGGGAGGCATGGGCCCGCGGGCCCAGCCCACCTCCACACCTCTGTGCGCCCCGTTCTCCTCCTGACCGTGCCTCTCTCTGCATGCTGCCCGCCAGGACTCACCTGCAGTGCATGATGGAGGAGTGATGCTCCCCGTACTCCTCCTGCCCCAGCACGATGAAGGGCTGCTCAGGGCGGACCCCTGCACCCTCAGGGCCTGGCTCCGCAGCCCGAGTCAGCATGTCCGGTACCTCCACATGCGGCTCTGGGCAGGGCTCTGCTTCTGGGCCACTGGCCTCAGGCTTCTTCTCTGTGCCCTGGGCCAAACAAAACAGAGACAGTCGGCTATAAGGGGTGAGCCAGGACCCTCCCCCGCCAACCCCTGCACACACACCCAAGGATCTGATGTTGAGGTATAAGACGCAGGATGCAGCACTCTGGGGAGGTACTTAGGGTCGCAGAGCCCAGCGGGAGGTATGAGATGTAACAGCAGCACCCAGCTCACCCAGGCAGGCAGCTCCTGCTCCGCTGACACGCCTTCTGTCAGAGGCCCAGCAGAGGGAACGCAGGCCAGGGCGTCCCTGCTGGTCTAGCCGGCGGGTCTCAGGACATACCTGACACACCAGCGCAGTGATAGCAAAACTCACCTACTGTGTGCCAGGCACTATGTGACCGTGACTGGTTCTTCCATTTATCCCTCCCCCAAAGCCTCTGGGACCCTATAATTAAGCCTATTTTATAGCTGTGGAAACCAAGACTGAAGCAGAAGTTGGATAACTTGCCCAAAGTCAACAGCTGGCAAAGGTAGTACTTGGAGACTTGGAGTAAAGCCACATCAGCCAGAGGGAAGCTGGCGCCGGGGTGTGTGCTATCCTCCAGAAAGGAACAGAGGGAGTGGGGATGGGACCTTCAGGGTCTGTTGCCAACAAACTGGAACCACTTCAGGGCCGATAGCTGTCGGAAATGTTTTTAATATAGGCAAGGTCCTCACCTAGTGATAAATAGTCAGGAAGACAACTGAGGCGGCAAATCTCTTGTGCTTTTGCCTTGAATCCAGAGTATTTGATGGCAACAGAGCCTGCTAGACAGTCAGGAAAAGCCGACTCTGCCCCTACTCAGCAGTAAGGGGAGTCTCAGTGCTCCATGTGGCACATGGTCCCTGGGCAGCAACACCAGCAGGTGGGCCTCAGGGGGACAGGAGAAGAGGCGGCCTCTCATCAAGCAAGCCTGGTGATTCCAAGCTAACCCTGGGGAGCCAGTTTCTCTCATACTGAGTCCAAGAGCCCAGATGGGCCAATTTCAGGTTAACTTGAGGTAAGGACATAGCACACAAGGGTCCCCACCATTTAATCACAGAACTCACCTGCTGGAAACATTTTCACAGTGTGGCTTTTATGGCACCTACTTGGGGAAATGCTCTGTCAGAAAGGGGGCCCACCAGGGAGGCAGGCAAAATATGAACCAAACAGAGCCTCCCTGGTAGCACAAGGGGCTAAGTCTCAGCATTATGAAGCTATAGGCAGTCACAGCAGCATGAGTTCGATCCCTGACTAGGGAGCTGACCCACATAGTGCAGCAGGCCTCTCCTGTCTCACCCACTGTCAAAGTGCAAGCAATTCGACAGCTACACAAAACCACACTCTACACAAAACCACACTCGACACAGCAGCAGATGGGGAGAGCAAGCCCTGCATACCCACCATTTCCAGCCTCCACAGTGGCTTCAGTGCACCCAAAGGCCAAGCCTCACCTGCAGAGTCATAGAGAGAAGCTCCTTCCTTTCCTTGCCGTGATCTTGCAGGCGTCGCTGCCGGTGCTGTGACCAGCTGGACTCCCCAGCAGCCAGCCCACTGAAGGGAGTCTTCCCTTCCCGGGGGCCGCACACCGGGTCCCTTCCTTTGGCCACCTGGGGACGAGAGGACAGGCTGTGAAAGTTCTCTTCCCACCAGTGCCTGGCCAGGAGATGAGAAGAGTTCTCCTGTTCTCTCCCCAAAAAAGATCTTGGTACAATGCCTCCAGGCCATGCTGAGCACCCAGTTAAATGTGACCAGCCAGAGGGCAAAGGCAAAAGTAGAACCTAAAAAAGCCCTCTGGACCTTCTTCCATCTTCTCCACCCTGATTTTAGAGGCCAGGCTGTCACACTCCTCAGCCCACCCTAACAGTCACCTAGAGACAGACAGACAAGTATCTTCTTGACCAAATCAGAACCCCAATAGCTTTAGCTAAGGGGAGACCAGTACTTACTAAGTGATGAGAGGCAGTCAGGCCCTTTGCCAGATTTTATGACCATTTTGCTGCTTGTAAATGTTATGTTTAGTATGCTTACATTATGAAAAAAAGACATTTATGGAATATGTAATCGCCTCTCTGTTCAAGATTGCCGAGAAGTTGTCCAGTATATCATCAGGGAGGGACTAGACATTATTCTAAATGAAAAATTCAAAAGGCACCTCAGTGAATTTAATCACAGTATTCACCTGCTGGGAAAAGTGCCCTATGCTGAAGATACTATATATCTAAGTGTGATCTATGAGACCCTGTGTCAAGAGAGCAGCTCCTTAAATTATACCTAAGTTATGACTAAAGCAGGGTGAACCACAGCAAAAAATACGTTAAAAATGATAAGCTCAACTGTCCAGTAAAACTCTAATAAGTGAAGGTAAATCTAGTCACAAATGTATATTATTAAATATTGACTGACATCACTTGTAATTAAAACTTCTTTAGCAGCAAAGTTCATAAAAACTTTAGTGTATTCATATAATACTTCAATTATATTCGATAATATCTATCTATAGTCAAGGAGAGACAGTTTAACCAATGTCTTAGCGACTGACGTTCTCCCTTCTCTTTCTGGAGCAGAAATAAAGCAATACCAGTTGATTTTCAGTGGCCTGAACAGAGCTTGCTAGATGGTCACCCAAACCAGACAGGGAATGAGTTCTAGTAATTAGGCCCCACCCAAAGTAAACTACCACCACCCTGGAGACAGGCCCTTGTAGCAACCAAGTTACAGAATGAATGACACATGAAAGTGTCCTTTCTCCCATCCTGCTAAGATCCATGGACGCAGCCCCCAGGGCGGCTGTTCCTACCAGTAGTCTCGGTAGCTGAGGTAATTAGATACTATTAAGCGCAGCTTTGTGAATGCTTTGCTTTCCTTACATTACAGTCAATTAAAGGCTATCGCTTTAATAAGGTAATTCCCACCTGCAGCCCGGTGGGTATGGAAGAAGTCGGATTATAGCTGCAGGGGAGGACAGAGGACAAACTGTAGGTGTGGCGAGCGTGGAGGCGAGCGTGCTGTGGGCATGCCCTCCCTGCCGTGAGCAATCCTAGCCTGGGAATTGTGGTTTTACCATTGCTTCCATTTGTTTTCTGAATTTAATCCCAGATTCATATCCACCAATAAACTGTCAACATTACTGACAACAGGGCAGCCACTTCCAAGGAGTAAAACCTAATGTGAAATTTACCATCCCATAGTAAAGAGCTAAAGTGTGAGAGCCTAGTCATTCTACCTATCGCTACTTTAATGAAACAGCTTGTTTCTTTGTTTGCTTATATTCACTCACTGGTGAGGGAGTAGTGAGAAAAAGATTAAATGCTTATATATGCTACCAATAAAAAATAAATTTGAATGTCACATTCTACTGAGTTAAAAGTATATCATTAAAGACACGGGGCATGATGATATAGCTAATTGCATTTGATATTGGTAAAAAAGCAGCTCAAACCATACATTCACATTTAGGCATCAATTGTAGTAAAGGAAAAAATTAGAATGTCCTCCTATAGGAGAGACGCCAGGGTGGTGAGGGGACTAGAAGTCATGCCAAATAGGTGAGCAGTCTTGGCAGAGAGAGGAATGAACAGGGTGCTTGACATGGAAAAGGCCATCGTCTTGCAAGAAGCCTTATTCTCTAGAATACCTGAAAGCAGTGAGTACAAAATACTCTGAGGTGTCTGCTGCCTGCTTTCTAACAGGCAAACAACAAGGAGTGAGCTCCACATCATAGGAGGCAATCAATCCAGGGAGGAACATATCCTCTACTCAATAAGCGGGTGGGCTACGTGACCTATGAGCCTCCTTCCAACTGTAACATTCTTTGATTTTCTTGAACCTCCCATCTACTAGTTATTCTTAGAATTGAAATATCAGTGCTGAGACTAACTGATATATTACCAGTAACAGACTGATGAGCAGCCCAATCCTTGGGGCATTTTAGGTTGTAGACCTCTGCAGTCAGGAACCAGAAAGCAGGCTATCTTTGTGCTATTAAAACACCCGCAGAGTGGCCCTCCCTGGTGGCACAGAGGGTTAAAAGCACAGCACTGAGAATCTAAAGCCACTTCCACATGAGTTCGATTCCCACCTGCCCCGGAGGTGACCACATGGCGCGGCAGACCTATCCTGACCCGCCCGCTGCTCCCCTCAGCAGTGTGCTTCGTCCATCTGCCTGTTCTGCTCCCCACTCTGTCTCTGGTGGAGCCTCTCGCCGCCCCTGAGCCTCTGGCCTGTACCCCAGTTCTGTATGCACAAATAAATAAATCTTTAAAAAAAAAAAAAAAAAACACCCGCAGAGTTTAAAGATATTTTAGAGGCACAATAAGGAATGTTTGCAAATTACACATTTTTACCCTCAGCTCTTGAATGTGAATCGCGTAAAAAATGTCCAATCTCACTTCCACCTCACCATACTACACCGAGCTCCTGAGCACATGAAGAGCAAAGCCACAGGCCCAACTCCCAAGAGCCTCCCTCAGAGCACCACGGAAATAAAATGTCATAGCTTCCTGCACATTTCAGGGACCCTCGCATGCCACGCGTCATCTATTATTACACGAGGAAAGTGCATGACAAACAAGGCCCATGAAGCAAACAGGAAAACTAACTCGCTGCAGAACTGGATTTCTAATCTTAAGGTTCAAATTTCTGAAGCACAGTCACAAGAGTAATCGTGATTGGATTTTGAATGCCTGACCGGATCGTCATGGATCATGAGATTATGTATAGTCATTTCACACTCAAGTCTCAGAAACCAAGTAGGCCAGTACCTTCACAATTACTACATTACTACTGAAATGTATTCAGTATGAGCTTATGATCTCCCAGACATACCCTGGAGTTCTTTTATCAGCTCAGCTAATGCTCCCACAAGAGCATAAATACCATCACCAAGCACTTTCGGTCAAGTGTAAGCAATTGGAGCAAGGGCGGTAAACCAGGACTCCGTGCTGACAGCTTGTTAGTTGTCATTTTCTTCTCCAGAGTCTGCACTTCAACAACACTAACCTGAAGTCCTGGGCTAGAAAGCATGCTCTCCGATGGCAGACCCTGCCTCCCTGATGCAGTGAGCAGTGCCCCCTGACTTGCAGCTATTCTCAAACTCAAGAGTGTTAAGGGGAAGGATGTCCTAAAGGAACTGCAGAGTTCTGTGGACTCCACCCCCTACTCCAGCTATTGGAAACGACAACTCCCAGCAGTACCAGGGAGAGAAATGAGAAGACCCAAGGGCGGAGCTAAGCAGGCATTCTGCGACTCTGGGGGATAAATAGGGAGCCATTTTCAACTGCTCTCTCTCTGGAGGGGAGGCAAACAAAGGTGCTTGCTCTCTCTGTGGGGCAATGTCTCCATCGGACTGTTTGACTGGGGGCTATCAGTTAGTTTGCTACTAGCGCTCCAAGTCAGCGAGCTGGTAAGATATTCTAGTTACCTGGTATCTCTTTCTCTCTTTCCCTGGGTTGTTCCTTTTCCTTTTCCCCTTTTGTAAATAAACCCATTGTTGACTCTTTTGTGTGTGCCTGCAGGACAAGTAAATTTTAAGCACGTGGGTGAGGACCCACAGACAGGCAACCTAGTTCACACTGGGTGCCCTGTAATAAGAGCAGAAGGAGGCAGAGACCATGAGGACTTAAACTCTATGTGTATAAACAAAACTAGATTAAAAGAGAAAGCGTCTCTATGCAAGCAATACAGCGTAAATGTGGGCCTGGTAAACTTGCTCTCTGGGAGCAATAAATTCTAAAAGCAATGAATTCAGACCATCTCTACTAAGAACTATTCAATGGGACCTGTGGCTGGTTTGGAAATAACCAGACATAAAAGAAGTTCTCTGCAAGCTTCTATACAAGTGAAAAATTGCAAAATCCTTTGCAGTATCAGTAAATATCACCTTGTGAAAGAAATACATCAACTCAGAAATAACTCTAATTTACTCTTTACATGCTACATCACATTGTCCAACATTCGAAATTCCAGAATCACTTGAATTCACCCTGGAGTAAGACCGAATCATGGCTGTAAGTCCTCCTGCATTCACAGGAAATTGATGAGAAAAGGAGAGAACCTTCCAAGCGCCCTTCCTCTCACTGCCCTCCACTCCTGCACCTGCAGAGCCACTTCTGAGAGCTGGCACAGGGGAGCAGCCTGGGTCTGAGCTCTGCCCCACCCTTACTCCACCCCCTACTCCAGCTCACCCCCCACCTCCCATACCAGCTCAGTGTGCTGCAACACCGACAGCCCTGGAAGGAAGGGGAGCGAGGGAGCAGAGAATGTAAGTGGGCTCTCCTCCTCAGTTCCTCCTCTATACTTACTTACATTCTCATCCTGCAAAATCATACTCACCTATGGGGGGCAGGGGAAAGGCAGGGAGGCAGGGAGACAGGAAGAGAGGGAATGAGATATGGCTTACACCAGAGAAATCAACCTAAAGGGGAAGCACACAGTCTGCACCTACAGATCTGGTCAAAGGTTAGATGTCACAGGCCTCTCGGCAAAGTTAGAGAGGTGGGATTTGAGCTTACCTGGCTGCTGGAGTCTTTTTTGGCCGAGCTCTGAGTCTGAAGGGGACCCTGAGCAGGCGACAACCTTGAAGGGCTCTTCTTACTCTGAGGCAGCAGTGAGGACAGGAAGCCCCCGCGAGGTGACTGTGAGAGAGCGGTGTTCCTCTGGTTGCACACCATGGCTCTGGTCAGACAAACACACCACAAGGTCACGGGGTAGAAGGGACCCAGAAGAACTAGAACACAGACCTCCTGAGCTATAGATGATGCCAGGGACCAGGCTTTGGCATCATTCACAGGCCTGGGTGGTATTAAGTGGTATTATTATCAGTACCATTTCTCCTTCCAGAGGGAGTGGGCAGCCTAGCCGGCACCGTGGTGAGTTCTAAGGCTGTGGTCAAACTGAGAGCTGTGCTGGGCCCTGGCCACTGGCCGCCCATGGTGATGAGCACGGAAATGGGATCAGTCTAAATCCAAGTGTACAGACATGTAAAATATACCCTGGACTAAAAGCAATAACATGGAGAAGTATAATGTCCCATTAACATTTTGTTTCAACTCCTTACATGTTGAGATGGTATCTGATCAGGCCAAATAAAATATATCATTAAAATTAGGTTTTAATTTTCTTTCTTTTTACTTTTTCCTAATATAGTTACTAAAAATCTTTAAATTACACTTGTGGTTTGCTCTCTATCCCCAGTGGACAGCACACGCTCAGAAGCCAGAGCAGCTTCCTGGACAGTCTTTGGCGTGTGCAGGTGTGGAAGCTCACTGCCAGGCCTGTGTCCTGCCTCGCTGATCATCAACTGCGACTTGTCGCAGCTTCCATCCCTTCTTCGAGGAAAGAAGGGAGCATCTTTCAACAAGGCTACTGTTCCCATTATCATCTGGGTTTTCTGCTTGAACTGGCTGTTTTGACGGTCACTCAAACAACTCCCCGATCTGCCTGCCTCTATAACCCCTCACACAAGAGTGTGCTTCTGTGGCTGAACACATCCAACCCGCAGCTGCCAACTCTTTCATCCAGGAGGCGCTCCCTTCAAAGTTCAAAAACCACCCAGGGCTGCACGACAGGAGCTGCTGATTTATCCAGGTTGTGCACATCGTGGACATGCAGGCCCTGGCAGCGTGGTGCAGCTCCCCACTCTGGACAGGCTCGGAGGCCAGACATGGGGAGGAACTCCTAAAAGATGTTCCAGGCCAGGGGGCTATAGTCACAAAGCTCAAGAGCAAGGGCAGTGAATGCCAGGAGAATCTGGCACTTCTGCAGCACCTGGTGCAGAGGGCACAGTAAGTTGCCCCCAGGTGAGAGCCCAGGGGACAAAGGAGAGCAGGGAGCTTGGGCCTCCTGCCCATATCAAGGTGGGGCACACTCACAGTTCCGAATCCCCCAAACGGTCCATGTTGGAGACATAAGGAGGCAATTTGTGCTGGACCAAGGCCTCTTCCTCTTCTGGCTGTTGCTCCTCTTTCTTGAGGCGGTGGATTTCGGCTTGCAACGCAAAAAGCTACACGAGAGGGTAGGGTCGAGTTAAGACTGTGACCTCACCGGATCTTCCCTCCCCTGGGGAGGACTGGACACAGCACATCCAAATCCCCTCTGGCTCAAAAGACCACTGGCCTTCCACCTCAGCATGCCTTCCCTCTGCTCAGAGTGAGTAAATCAGAGTAAGTCATGTGGCTGCTGTGACTTGATCTTAATGTGTGAAACCAAAAGCCATCAGAAATATAAAAGCCACATCTATTAGTTTTAATCACTTGACTTGCTTCCTTTTTATCATTCAACTGACTTCTCCTGAATTCACTGAGAAAGAGTTCCACCAAATCCTGCTTTGGTCTTTGAATCTCGAAGGGCTTGGGAACTCTCCTGGAAAGAACTGAGGTTCAGGATTTTTAACCTTTTCCCTGAACAAAAGCCAAGAATCTTAAACTCCAAGCCAAAATAGCTTTTAACCTTTCTTGTGAACATATAATCTATAGGTCTCTTCACTCCTAGGCCAGATAGGCTCCTTGGGCAAAAATCAAAAGCAAACATGGGCCCCTGGCTATCACTTTAGTGAATCAGACAAACACTGAACTAAGAAGAGTAATTAAATCCACACGCAGATGAAATGAGACATGTGGAAAAGAATGGGGCACGGACTAGTTACAAGGGCACATGGATACAGTCATTTTCCCCTTACAAGTACTTTACTGGCCCATGTTGCTCACCATGCACAGCGTAACAAATTGTGCCTCTGGTTTTCAGAGCTCATGCAGCGCCCAAGTCCTCCCAAACACTGGTGTTCTGGTGATTCACTTTCGCCTGAGATCACTGCTTTCCTATATTTAATCAGCCTCCTGCTGCCACTACCTAATTTCATACACAAAAAGCAGAAGTCCTTCCCAAGAAGGAGCAAGGGTGCTCAGAACCAACCTTCTGGCGCAGAACCTCATTTTCTTCTTGCACCTGGTTGGTCCGCTGGCACTCTGCATCAAAGTTCAGGATCACGGGAACTGGTACACCAAGTTAAAGAATAAGCCTGCTTGTGAAACCATTATATGCCTCCTCAAACTCTTGACACACCAGCCCAGCCCCTGAACGTGAGTCACACAGGCTGGCGCTGAGGGCTCTGTAAGTGACAGCTACATTCAGCAAAGCCAGCCCAGAGGCCAGGGGCTCCACAGGTGCACTGCCAACCACTCTACCCACTCTCAGACACCCCGCCATGCACTTAGCCCTCTGCAGATGGAGTGGTTTAGACTGCAGTAGGTTCTGCAGACTGCATGATGGAGAAACCATCCACCTTCTAGGTTAGGGTGTCAGTCTTCACCAATCACTTCAAACAGCTTCTGTTAAGAGGAACACGCAGCAGGGAGGGCCTCAGCATTGAGGAAGGAACTGAAGCTCCATTGTACTGCCCCTAGTCTAAGGGGCAGTACTGGGGACTGAAGACCTTAAGTAACATTTCCCAGCTCCCCAGAGGGCCCACATGCCCCATACACCTCTGGGCTGAGGCCAGGCTAGTTCCCTCTGAGAGCACTCAGGATGAAGAGCAGGAACCAGGGAGGAAAGAGGCAAACCAGACAAGTGAAATTCACACTCACCCATACAAGGGGAAGAGCACCCTTCTTGCCTCTGCCAGAAGCTGCTTCTCCCAGAGGCCACGAGGGCTGGTGGGTGGAGCTCTAGCAGGGCCACATTATCAGTGCCTCACCAGGCAGCCCCCTTCCAACTGGATTCTGTTCTCCACAAGAACGCATGTCTGGAGAGCATGAGCAGTGGAGGATGGCAGGCTTTCCGTGAGAAAATGGAAGGTTTACATGCACATGTGCACACTTTGTCTCTCCCAAACATCCACATATGTGTTCTTCAAGCTGCTGTTTCCTAGCAGGCTGAGAGACACTGACATCACTGCCAGAGAAGGAGGCTCCAGCCTGGGATGTGTCCCCACCTGCCACCTCTTCTCAATAAAGGCAAGCGACATCCTTGGGGAAATGGCCTGCACAGAGAGGGTACTTTCCAAGGCTGGCAGGCTGCACTAAGCAGCTGCTGCCTCTCAACCCCTGTGTCTGCTGAGAGAGCCCCTTTGGCCTATTTGAGGGCTCCTCTCAAATCAGGGTACTAGCACCCCACCTCTACTATAGTCTCTGCCCGTGCATGCAGCTATTACTTCAGAGTCAAGCATCAGGACTAAGATTTGTGCTTCCCTGGCCCAGTGACAAAAATATGCACAATCTTTTCAGCCCCTTCACATGACACATGACAACAGTCCAAGGGGATTCTGTAGAGAAATGGTGTAGCAAGGGCAGCCACCACAGATCACCCTGGAGGCCTCAAGACAGGGCCCACAGCGCCAGGCGGCAAAAAGGATATGCATGCACTGAAACAGGACGCTCAGGAAGTTGTGCAGGGACACAAGGAAAGTGTCGGCCCACTGTCGAGAAAAGTAGGTGGCAAAGGTGGGGTTGGTGTCTGGGGATGGCAAGAAGGGCAAGGCAAACCAATCCTTCCACTCAGCCTGGTTCTGGAGCTCCGTGGCCTGCTTCGCAAAGAACTCCTGAGCCTTGTCATTTCTGTTTGTCTGCCAAGCAAGGAGGGAAAGAGAAGTCCAGAGGGAAGCTTGTCACTGCACAGTAGAGGCTTTGAGTGGCTAAAGCTCAATAAAATAAAGGAAACCACTCTTCTCAAATCCCTTTACAATTTCAAAGCTTCTTTCAACTGAAATCCTGATGAGAAATGCCCTCCTAAAAATTAATTCCTAGTTGATTTTCAACTCCTCTAAGTGCCCCAGTTTGGCTATCTATTTTATTATTCTAACTTTAATCCAGTGTCTTATGTTCTCTGAAACACTACCCAGGCTTATGTTCTTAAAACAAGAGGGGAAATAAGAATGAGGAAGACAAGTCAGATGATCTAAAGATAAAAAGAAAAAAAGTGTAGGAAAATAGTCAACGTGAATGTGCGCTGTGACTGTTGCACCCTTTTCCAGAGTCACATACAGGGGCCTCCTGAGGGACTAAAAGAAAATCGATTTCCGGAGCAAAGAACTCTCTCCACCTAGAATGCAGACCCTGGACCAACAAGCACCTGGATTGTGTGGACGAGGTAAAAGCGGAACAGGCTGGTTTTCAGCTTGCTGATGGTGGGTCTATATATATCCTCCAGGCGGCTGAAGAGCCGCCGCTCTAAGTAGCTCCAGTAGTCCCGAAGGGCCGCCAAGTCATACACCTGCATTAACTGCTGCAGCTGCTCCACAATCTTGTCCACCTAGTAAAAGAAAAGCTGGGATGGAGACAGTCAGAAAAGACGGAAGAGCATTTCCCCTCACTGTGGCAGAGTTAACACAGCTTTGGCCTCACTGTGCCTTCTGGATATTCATTTTTGTTAAGTTAGCAATCCATAAAACTTTCCAAACATACTTGTGTGACAGCTTTTAAGTCAGTGTCTGATGTTAGCCGTCAGTGTCTGATGTTAGCCATGTGATCTGACCCTCTCACAGGCGCAAAGATGTGAGGCATAAACGCACTCAGGCCGGCCCTCCCTAGTGGTGCAACGGGTTAGGACAGCACTGCAAGTTAGCTGCAGCCGCTTCAGTTCAAGTTCGATCACCGGCCCTAGAGGTGACCCATATGGTGTGGCAGACCTCTCCTGTCTTGCCCGCTGCTTCCTTCAGCGGTGTATTTCGTTGATCTGCCTGTTCTGCTTCCCACTCTGTCTCTGGTGCATCCTCTCACCTCTTGCACCTCTGCCCTGTACTCCAGCTCTGTATGAATGAATGAATGAATGAATGAATAAATAAATAAAAGCACTCAGGCCCAGGAAGCAGAGATGGGCCAGGTCCTGACTTATTCAACCAACGTGGCAATGTCACTTCCACACTTTGTTCGCAGCTGCCTAATATTTAAAAAAATAATAAGAGTCAGACGATCTCCATGGTCCTTCTCCGGAGGTACCCCCACCAGCCCAAGGTTCTGAGAGTTGGCATGACAGACACTGCCTCCTTCAAGTCACCAGCGTGCCACCAAAGCCCTGGCAGCAGCTAGGGTGTCAGTCAGTCGCCTCCCAGTGACAGAGCACACAGTCTGAAAAATGTTTTGGGCACCAAAACCAATCCAATATCTGCCTTGTATTGACCAGGACACTGGGGTTTGGAGAGCTGCAATGATTCGCTGCTGCCACTACAAAGGCGCTAACTTCAGCAAGACAAGCACTGGGTCTCCGGACTCCCCTCCAGACCGCTGGCCACTAGCTCACTGCCTCTCAGGCTGAGTGTGGCTACCAGCGGAGGCCAGCAAACACCCTCTAAATGCCAGGAGCTGCCCAAGGGAAAGTCACGTCTAAGTCGGGGCGTTTAATGATTTAAAACAGGAAATAAGTGCTTGTCCAATTGAGGAAAACAATGACCAAAAACAGGAACACAACAGAGAAAAAATGAGACCGTGACAAACGGAATGAATGGCCCTACGATGAGCAACAAGGTCTTTCCCATGCGGAGGCAAAATCGCCAACGAGCGGCTGACAGAGCCATTTCAGACCAACACTGCGGACCCTGACAGCCCGCTAACGCGCAGGGCTGCCGTCCACTTGGCGCCCGGTGCCGTCAGAGGCCGACTCTGGGATATCTGTTGCCAAGACTCAACCATCCACCAAATCTTAACACTTATCGCCATCTTGGTCAACGACTGGCCAGCACCTGCTGGGAGGCTGAGGTGGAGAGCGGAGGCGGGGACCAGGAGTCCGGGCACCAGGGTCCAGCCTCCGCCATACGCCGACTCGGTGGGCAGCTTCGGGCGAGTCACGTCCCCCCTCAGCGCTTCCGTTCCCCATCAGTCCAGCGAGGGCCGGACGCGAGTGTCGACGGCCCCCTCCGCGCGGTGGCAGCGCCGCTCCGGCCTCCGGAGGGCAGTGCTGAGGGAGATCCCGCCCTGGGCGCCCTCGGGGCCGCCTCAGCCGCGCCGCGCCCGCCAGCCCTCACCCGGAACCCCTTCTCTTTGTCCGCCTTGATCTCGGCGTCCAGCAGCCGCAGTGTCTGTGTGAAACCGCGGAAGAGCAGGTACTCGCGGACCAGCTCGTCAGTTCGCTCCACGGCCTCCGCCATCGCTGCGCCGGCGCCG